ATGATTCTTGATTTTAGTCTTTTCAGACTCTCTAATAGTCTCACTCAACGCAAAATTTATTTTAAAGTCAATTTTCTACATCCGCAGTTTGACAATATTCATTTCTCAAGAATCATCAGAGATTGTAAAGATTACTTCCCCGCAGTTAACACAATACCAATGATTGCATTTAAATATCAAAGGACCTTAAGCAACTTGCTCACTAACCACCATGAAATAGATGAAACTGCAGAATGACATTGTAAGACACCAATTTACAGCAATTACGTAGATTCTCAACACCAGCACATAATTACTGGCAACTTGAATATCATACAAAACCATCAACTAAAAACACTAATGATTTATGGTACAAAATTTAGACCAGTCAGAAACATGACTACAAATTACTGTTACAAGACTTTCGAAAACAACATCAACGAATTTATAGTTAAAGCAAGCTATCAACTGAATTTACCCATAGATACCTTCTTAAAATGGAAAGCTAAAATTTTTCAACGCATATCCACCGAAATCAGTCACCTCAAATTTAAAAGTACACTGAATTGGTCGCAACTTACATCAGATATTAATCAATTAAAACAGCTTTTTACTATTACAAAAATAGATAAATCAACAATAACTTTAGCATTATATGAAAACAATTCTACGCTGAAATTATTCATAAAGAACTTCTCAACGCAACTACTTATCAATTAGCCAACCTTACAGAAACATCTATAATAAACAGGATTAAAACCTTTCATAAGAAACTCAATATTACTTTCAATGCAAACTACAACAGATTTACTAATCTTTATGCGATTCCCAAATTCCATAAAACACCATTAAAATTTAGATTTATAGCTAATGGAACTAATAATTAAAAGAAAAATGTAGACTATTATTTTTCAATTCAACTTAATAAAATCTGTAAATTTATTTTCAATGATTGTAACACTAATCATAACTATTGCTGGATCATTCATAATAACACTCATGTCATTAATACCATTCAAACCATTAACATCCAAAACATTAACTGCTATGATTTTGAAAACTTATATACCTCACTTCCTCTAGAAGAAATCTATACCAGTCTACTTGATCTACCTAAACTTTTCCCTAATATACTCAATATCATGACTCTTGACAAATGGAAAACCTACCTAAAATGCACACTTTTTCATAACTACATCAAGTTTCAAAATCAACTTTTTAAACAAGTCAGAGGATTGCCAATGGGCTTACATTCCAGCACCTCGATCTGTAATATCTTTTTATTTGTCAAAGAATTTAACTTCCAAAAAAATCTACAACCACAAGAGTTAAATTACTACAAACACACCTACAGATATATTGATGACCTTATTACAATTAATAATTTTGGTAAAATTGAACACTCCGAGATTTATCCGAATTGTCTTACACTTAATAAAACTAATAATTCACAAAATAGCATAGACTTTCTAGATCTTCAAATCATTAACTACAAAAAATTTTACTTTTTGACAAAACAAGAAACTTCAATTTCAATACTAACAAATTAATAAATTGGAACTCCTAACATATCCAAAAAAGTAATTAACAATACTATAATTAATCAAATACAACGAATTAAAACTATATGCACAGATACAATAGATTTACAACGCGAAATTTTGATCCTTATCAAAATTCTCAAAAATAATCTAATTCCCATTCAATTTATCAACCATTGCCTTAAAAGAGCAGGCGTTAAATACTCACTCTAAATCATTTAACTGATAGGGATATGATAATTTGTCCCTAAACCTGAGAAGGCGGTATAAGTTGGATGACTGTCAGTTGGAAGATTTGTATATAGTGTAATTACTCAATTGCATATATTGTAAAAAGCTAATTGTCTTCAGACATATACTGTTACTATACTAAAAAAATGGGCCTATTTCATGCCTTTAGTCTGTCTATCAGCTCTTGGACAGTGAAAATTCCTTTTTCCTTTCTTAAATTCTTAATCATTGCGACACGACAATTAGCCAGAAATTAATTAATTTCCATTCACTAGTATTTTCAAAAAAATCTTAACAGACAGTCTCTCTCAGATAAGAACTCCACAAAATACATCCCTCAAGAATTCCAAGTCCCACCCACTACCATAAATTACTTCACCCAAGTCTTACCGACTGATATTATTCAAAGCCCCTACTGCCGCTAAGAATTTTCGGACACCCTACACTTCTGAGTCAGACACGAAGAGAACACTTTGCCAACTCCCCCACTAGAAAGAATGTAAGTTACTTAATACCATTTCTGGCCTTTATATCTTCATGTACATTCACTGATCTTATTTATATTATTTCTATATTATTTTTATATATTTTTATATTGTCTTTGATTTGTTTTTACAAAGTTTGCATTATTTATCTTAATTTGTAATCTTCTATGTTTATTTCAACTTTACTTTGAATTCGATTTCATAATGACAATTTCCAATGTTTAATTTCTACAAATAATATAGTACTCAAATGCATAAACATGAAAGTGTCGGGGACGTTTACTCGAGAATTAAATAGGATTTCTCTACAGTAATTGATTTTTACTCCAAATTGAATTGACTAAAATGCTTCATAAGAATAAGTTCTTTGAGTATCAGCATTGGTTCATAATTCCTTCTATTCGCGGAAATATTTGGCCTGACTAGAATTGCCGGTTTGGCTTTAACTTATAACTCGAGAGTAAAGACGAAACACTTTCGTATTTACGTATTTTTATCAATTATTGTTCATTGAACGGGAGTTGGTTTGTTCCCCTTGAAAAGTCAACTAATTTCCGATCAATGACAATGATTACATGTTTTAATTTTTTCCTTTTACAATTGAAATTTTATTCTTCATGATGGATTTAACTCCAGTCCCCGTTAAAACATTATTAACTTTCATTACTTCAAAACACTTTCAAAATATAATTACCAGTATGGATTCACACTTTTAAAATAATTCTACTTTAATTAAACTTAGGAGATAATATAATCAATTAATCAATACTGTTTAGGAAATAAATTATTATTAACTAACTTTGCAGCAATTGCGCAAGTAGTAATAACTTGTATTCACACTAAATGGATTTAAGATCACACAATATCTGATAGTAAAAATATTGATCTTGGCTTCTTAAAGAATCAATATAAATCAATTGGGCAGTTATATGAAAATTTTACAACTTTTAGTCTTTACTGTAAACATTCATAGCGGTTTTATTCCATAATTTTAAACTCTGAAAATTACAACCTTTGTATAGTTTCAGAATTATTTGTTTTTTATTACCATCAATTATACATCAATTTCTCGAAAACTTCTTATGGGCTAAATCGGACTTCCTCGGACTCCTACGAAAACTCTTATAGAATTAATAGATTCCTATAAATTCCTGTAACTTCTTATGGAGTTAATAGATTCCTATTAATTCCTGTAACTTCTTATGGAGTTAATAGATTCCTATAAATGTATACTTATTCTCATACTATAAATATGCAATGATATATTCATTATTACATACTTATAATATGAAATATACTATAAATATAATAAATAAATAAAACCTTCTATAAATGTATAATAATTATCATTTTTCAATCCACTCACCGATGACACAGCTTTTATTGGAAGCGTGCCAAGAAAATTCAATTTCCATTTTAGGGAAAACAGGAATGTTTTTAAGATTTCATCTCTATCAAAACACTAACATTCTTTCTTGGATCATTCATTGGAAACGTTAACCTTTTTTGCAAACGGTTTCAGTTTTCTCGCTCGTGTGCAGAAGCATCACGGGGATCGTACAATGTTATCACAACAACTACTAAATGTTTGCTTACCTGTCTTATATCTTTTATTTTTATGTTAATTCTTTCCTGTGCGTTCTATTTCTTTCGTTAGCCTTCACTAGAATCTAAATTAGATTGAGTTTAAATATAAATTCGTAACTGAGAGCGACATCTGTGGCAACGGGTATTCTTTTTTGGAGATCTAGGTTAAGTGAAAGATTTTTTTTTTTTAAAATTCGTTAGCTCATAGTCGCACTCATTATTAACTGAAGTTACTATCGTGTTATACATACTTAAATAACTGCATTTATTTTATCCTCCTAATAGCGATAAATTTCAGTTGTATTATCAGCTTGTGTACATTTAATAAAGTTTTCAACTAACATTTAACACTTCTGTGTTACTGGAGACTTCTATGTAAGTGCGAAAATGGAAATTTGTCAGAAGCTCAAGAAGATTAAACGGGTTGTAATTTAAACCATGGTTGAGCTCAAGGTTAAAGTAGGTTAAATTATAAGGTATTTCACCCACTTCCCTAGCGTGCCTTCGTGGTGTAGTGGTTCTGCACGCTGGACCGGTATTCCAGAGGTCCGTAGTTCGATTCCAGGTGAAGGCGGTTGCATATTTTTCATCTTTTCTGCTTCCAATTAACCTAATGACTCTACAAAATTTAATTAACTTTTAGATTTAATGTATGCTTAAATTTTAAGCTAATTATAAGTAACTTTTCATCTTTCATCCAGTAGATATAATATTAAACCTAATTAACTTTTAGGCTAACCACATATCTTTTATCATAAATTTACTTTGCTAAGCTGTTTCTGAAATTAATATAATTATCGATAAACGATTAAAATAACGATTAAAGTATGTTATACTTCACCAAATAAATAATTACTCAGCATCTTTCAAAGGCTGCAACTTTATGACTAAGAGAAATAATTCATTACGAAATTTTAAAATTTTAAAATTTTATAATTTTTTTATTTTAAAGAAATGTAATATTAAAAAAACACTTACAGGAGATTTGGAATAGAAACTGAACATATGAAATTAGACGGTAAAAGAACATTTATTCAGATTTATATTTTTTTAAATAAAACTGTAGAGCAGTATATGGTTGTTTTTATGCCTAATTATAAATTTTACATTGTCGTGTTTCTCTTCCATTTGATATGCTAGAGATTCGAGTAGTAATTTTATTGAAAGAAAGTATTACTTGTTTCCAAAGCAGTAATCCCGTTACACTTGTAACGCCTAAAATGTTGAATACAGCTGATCCGACGATAGTTCCAATACCGATATCTCCTTTCGTCACAAAAGAACCTGAAAAAATGGTCACATTTGATTCATCAAAATCAATAGTTTAGACATTTTATGCATAAGTACATTTTTTTAAGATTATATTATATTATTTTTTTCCTTTTAAGGAAGATTCCTAAACAAGAGTAAAAAATAATGATTACCAAACCCGGCCTCAAAGTCTAAAAAAAATTCTTTTTTTTTAATTATAAAAGAAATGAGCAAAATTACCGACTATGTTTCGTACACAGTTAGTTCCCAATTTACCAAGGATAGATTAACCCGATTTCAGATTAGCTGAGAGGTGTTTAAAAGAATATTAAGTTTGCTTATTGGGGAAGATGGGAAAATTATTACCCCCAAATCACCGGTGTAAAACAAAACTGTTCACAGAAAATGCCAAAATAAAGGAAAATTGGGTGAGATAAAAGCAAAGAAAGGAAATGTCATAGTATTTGGGAGTTAGTTTTACCCACAACAGTGCATAACTTAAGTGGATGTAATCAGGAATACTATCTTTAACATCGTTAAAAAATAAATTTCTGTTACACATTGATTCCTTATCGAATTACAAGAGTAATGTAAACAAAAATAAAGAGTTATGTTTTCCTTAGGAGGACTGATTTAATTTAATTTAATGAATTAATGATTAAATGAACGTAATTAAATGAACTTATTCTTCAGGTTAAACTGTTTGAAAATAGAGAGTGTAGGGAATTATTGCCCTTCCGATTATATGCCTTTCATACTGTAAGTAGTAGCCGGCAATCGGAAGATTCGAAGTTACAGTTTCGATTTCTGTTTTTTCGTGTTTTCTGATTTGAAAAACCTTAATAGATTCTGCAAGTGGCGCTCGACTAAAAATACGTTAGATTATAATTCCTTACCTCCTAGATTTGGGGATTGGGTTTCTTTCGTCACTAATAGTCCTTTAAAAAGGAAAGCATGCAAGGAATTTTCGTCTTCCTCACTGCGTTCCTTCATAATGTAAAGAGGTAGCTCGCAGCTGGAGGATCCGGAGTTCGAATCCCAGCATTCCATAGCTTATTTTTTGCTTTTCCTCATTTGGAAAGCCAAGTAGACTTTACAGGATCAATTGTCAAGGGTTAATTTGTACTGTTAATTTTAGTATTGGCTATTTCATTTTTCTCCGTTTTCCTAATTGTTCTCGTGCTAAACATGATTTTAAGTTAATTATGTATGTCCTTTCCCGTGTTATTCTTTTAACTTAAAAGATAGATTGTTAAATGAGATAATAATGTAAATATTCTGTATTATAGCCTCAATCCAAAGAAGACAAATGTAACTTCCATTTATTTATTCCATCCAACTTGTATAATTTGACTTATAACCTCTGTTTAACATAAAATACTTGTTTCATATCTAAATATTTTATAATAAAATATTCCAATCTAAAATCAATCTTAATTACTGAAAACCGAATATATTTTTAATCTTCAGTAAACAGGCTGAGATATGCTGTTCGAATAAATCCTAAAATCATTGTTTGATAAGGCTATTTTGGTATTTTCATGGCATTCAGAGCTATTGTTTAACAGGGTTTAAATTCATGTATTTTGTTGCCGTGAGTGAAGGGAATTTTTTATATTTAACTTTAGCACAATAGAAATTAATGTAATCAGTTCTTACAGTTCGGTAAGTTGTCATTTTATCAGAACTGATTGTGTATTTAACATGATATAATTCTAATATTTTATTCAAAGTTCGTGATATTAATTCAAATAAAGCGTCCGCAGACTTTTCATTTCAAACTAGAACTTTTTCAGGCAAGCTATTAACTCGATCTTTAAATAATGGGAAGAACCAGTGGTCGAGTGGATAAGACCGCTAAACGCTGGCAATTCGATTCGGATTCGAATCCCTGCAGATGGATTGGTTGCATGGGCCTTTTTTGCGATTTTTCTGAATTGTAATGTGGATATGAGCAAATTTCCCTTAGAAAATTATCCTTGAAAATAGCCCTCCCTTTAGGAAGATAAAATCATTGTGCTTTAGCATAACCAACTAATCAAATAAACAATAAGAAGGGTAAAATGAAGACAAATTCAAAAAAAGACGAAATCTCATTGATGTAGTTAAACCTTCCACCCCTTGATTTTTTTTAGAATCAAAAAAATAAAAAGGACACAAAATGTTTTTGATAGGTGTTAGAAGAACTCTCTTGGAACATATTATTAATAAGTTCCTATCTGAGTTGTAGAAGACGCCGTGGCAACTGCCACCTCTAGGTCTCAATGTAAACAGACGAGTAGGAAAACGCATACTTACAAGCTACCAAATGAGATCTGTTGTAGTGACCGATAAAATAGACCTCTATTTATGAAGGTGGTAAATGCCACCAGCACAGCCGGCAAAGCACACTAAAGATATTTTCCTATACAAGGATGCCTTCAAGGAGGGCATTTTAAGGAAACTTCCCCATGTTCATGTTACACACGGGAAAAACCACAAAAAATACCAGCCAGCTCCTTCGACGGGCTTCGAACCCGATATCTTCCAGTTAGTACTGTTGTGGAAAAAAGCATAATTCTTCGGCTACATACCATCTTGCGAACGGATTTCAAACAAGCCCACATACTTTCATAGCCTTTCCTTGATTTAATGCGAATGGTCATTACTTAATCCAAAATGCAAAATGAATGATAATTCTCAAAATAGTCACTTTTATCTCTGTTACAGAGTCATGAATGCTGTGCTCTAGACTGTATTAAATCTGCTGAATAAAACTGATTTTTAAGGTAAGAAAATAATTCTTTAAATTTCACTGACATATAAATTGAGTTGTTGCTAGCGGTTTATAAATTGCGAAAGAATGGACATGTATACTTTGTCATATAATGAGTTTTCATAAACACGATTTCGGTGAACATTAAATTCCTTATGTTCTCCAACAAAGAGCAAAAGTTTCGTTTACTGATTACTATTGCTTTTGTTTAAATTCATACAAAAGTACTAAACTTACCAATGACAGCTGAATACAGCTCAGGAGATGACGTACCAATGGCCATAAATGTTGCACCTGCTACATCGACGGGCACGTTCAGAGCTGTAAAGAAAAGCCGGCATTTTAAGAATTTGAATGCGTAAATGTTCTGGAAATATAGCAATAAAAATTCTCTAGTTTGCAAGAGAATAAGACGTAAGCAGTAGGTGGCGCTTAATGTGATCACGTTCGTCCATGACTAGTTTGATAATATTAACCAATAAGAAAAATGCGCTTCAAAATATCAGACGATTTAACTAATTCAACACAAGTATAGCTAATATCCCTCACCTACATTTGTTGGAAATTCACCAATTTTATCATTTCTTTCTCCAGAAAAGTTAATCAAAGGATTTGTCCAGAAAACAGCCGGCGGGTACTTTCTTCTCCAATTTATGCTGCAACTTGAATTTTTTCAGATATTTTTAATGGCTTTATTTAATAGCCATTAGCCTTGCCGGAACTCGAACGCGGGCCCATCACTACGGCAGCCAGGCTCGCTAACCACTATAACGATTGGGCGGCACTTGTTTTCCAGATATTTTGGAGAGGAAAACCAAGGTTGTCTAAAACCCCGCTTTGTTATTCGCTAACTCTGCTTAATCCAGTCGATCCTCCTAAAACGTGCAAGAGGTATCCTCCTAAAACTTGCAATTCAACGCTTTAGTTAGCAATGTGTCTCTGTCATTGTAACTGTCTTCAAGTAAAAAAAAAAAAAAAAAACTGAAAGGTTTTCAGATTTTAAATTACGTCCAAAGGGGGCGTTTTTAACATTTTGTGTGTTACCTTTCTTTATTAAATATCAATGTTCCTCGCACTTAAACCATAAGATCCAGTGCAACAGCAATATCGCAAAATAGTTTTAAAACGAGCATATCTTTAGAATTTCCGATACAGAGACTCACGCGCTGGAGATAAAAATGTTTTTCTGCACAACGTTGCCATTGCTCGCTTTGAAATCCTTGAGTTTGTTAATCAAAAATTCGTCAAAGTTTACAAAAAATAGGAAATCGATCATAAAACAAATTTCCAAATTTCAAATTTGGGCTTCCACATGCCCATATTCGTGGAGGATACGTCATTCAAATTCGATGGTTCTATGTACCGTTGTTGGGGCAACGGTTGAAAGTGAAACGGACATTATAGTGAACCACGCAAAATCGCAAACGAAAACAGTAGTCCTTCAGGGACAAAGCCCCTTTGGACTAATAAAACTGTCGGAAATAATACAATAAACATAGATCAATCTTTTGATGAAATAATGATTGCGAAATGTTTTTTTTTTGGGGGGGGGAAGTCAGATAATTATAAAATTTCGAAAAATGAAAGTTGCGAAGAAAAATTGATACAACTTTTCAATCATTTAAAAGGAAGAAAAATTGATATAACTTTACAGTCATTTAGTAGAAAACATTTCATTGCCCGGTCTTGCTCAAATAAGATAGTACATTTTTCAGCGTATTAGGTACGTCTGCACAAGTCGAAAGAGCATTCTCAATAATGAATATTGTTGCTTTCTTACACGTTCGTGGATTTGGAGTGATTAACGATAATAGTTGATGAAGATTGAAAACACAATTTATTAGCGAGGTATTACTCAGGACAGATATACAGTCGTCAAAAAACTCCGACAAACACGCTGAAACACTCAGCAATGCAGCCTTCAGGCTATCAGGCTGTAACGGTGTACACAGCTTCATGGCAGAGCACTAGAGTACAGCTCCCTACTTGGTTCGGTCGTTCTCGGAGCTCAACGTACTCTCGAAACTCTCCACGCTACAACTTACGATGCACTCGATAGCCTGAACGATGCACTACTATATACTGATGAGACACCCACACACTAGACTAGACACTGCTACTCCGCGTACAGGCACGGTTTATATAGCTTTGGCCTGCTTTCTAAGACATTCTGGGCCAAACCGGCAAAAATTCGTTCCAGAATGTTCTCCATCCGTCTATGGCATATCGCTAATGTTGTCGCCAAATGGACGATTTCTCACCAAATATGGTAACCCTGCCTTCCCTTTCCATTTTCTAGCAACCCTAAACCCGCCTTGCGGGGAAGCTATCTTACCGCGGCTGGCATTTTGTAACAATATAATTCGGTGTGAAGAAAGAGACAGAACAGCTGGCCATAAAAACTTTGCAAAGCTACAAAATTAACAGAGAACTAAATTGAAGTACATTTTTGATACAATTAAAATTTAAAAAGAATTTTAAAAGAATGTTCACACTAGAGATAAATACCAATAACTTCTTAAGAATAAGATATGTTCAATTGAGTTACTAAATTTTTTTAACTCACTTGTTTTTTGTTAACAACTTCTTTATTCAGATTTTTCTATCATTATACTTATCCTAGTAGGTTTTATTATCTGTTGTGAGTATTTTCTTAGAACTGTCCCAGTCTGAGCAAAAAATATTACGTTCAGTGTAATTATAAACTTATTGACTTATACCATTTTGTCGTAATAGTTGTTCAAGCCAGCGTAAAATTTGAAATTAGGCGAAAAAAAAAGGGGGGGGCAATCCTAAAATGGATTAAATTTCGAATAAAACTCAAATCAAAACCGATGGTAACCTAAGACTGCAATTTTTTCCCCCCTAGTTTTAAGTTCCCAAAGTGTTCGAAAGAAGAAGAAAACTCCTGTTTCAGTGCTGAAAGAGGAGAATAATAAATGATCTAGACTGCAAAATAAATCACGTTAAGAACAGATAACTTACACTCCGCAATTATTTCTAGAGTAGGGACGAAGAACTGATCACAGATAATTGCTAAGATGAGACAAAAATACGCCGTAGCTATTATGTGGATGATCACAAATCCACTTTGCCTCTGTTCTTGTGTGAATAGATCTTCTGGAAATTCATTGATAGCTGGAGGTATACAGTGTGGTACTTGACCTCGCTTATGAGCTGAAATATAAAAAATAAGAAACACATAGATCAGTTTAGAGCAAAGGTTACAAAAGAAATAGTTTATAATTTGATTTCTTTCCAACTTATAATACAGAAGCGTTAAAAATATCATTAAAGAAAGTAAAGCATTAATTTTTATTACTTGTGACATCAATCCAAACAATGACTATTCGAAAAGTGCAACAGGAAATTTAAAAATCGCTGCTGAGTAGTATGACAGACATGTGATGGTTTCACCATAGCTGGACTTTTGAACTATTATTTATTTTCTAACTGTTCATTTAACTGTATTATTTCATGTACCTAAAACTGTACCTTTAACTGCGAAGAAACTGTACGTATGTAATTGTAACAGTAAACATGGTAGACTATGAAAAGCTCATGCAACGAGCCCTTTCTTTGGATTTGACCCAGCTGAAACTACCAGCGTTCAGGTACCTTATCCACTCGGTTATTGCTGAGGTGAAAAACTCCCAGATGCTAAACTCTCATTCGAGGCGTGGAACTTTGAAAACTTTTAAACGAAAATCCTCCTTTCTACCTCCTTGTACGAAGTAATCGCGAAACATTTTGGGTATCATATTTCAGCGGATATATCCGTTTTGTCCGTTCTCGAATCCATCTTGACTATTTTTTTCCGTCACGTCTGTACGTACAGCAGAATAAAGGACCGTGCTTCGTACGTACGGACAGAATAAATGCCTTTTTTTCCGAAATAGATTGTAAAATAGGTTTTAAATGGATCTTTTCGAGACATCTGTATGTCCGAACGTGTTTATCTCGCATAACTCAGAAGTGGTTAGCTGTAGAGCGCTGAAATTTTGCGTATGGTATTGCTATAACATCTAGTTGTGCACCTCGCGTTTTTATTGCAATCGGCAGAACTAAAAATATATTACATACCCACCCCTCTTACCCGGCATAAAATTCCTTACATGGCTTTTATTTTTGCAATTGTTGGTCGCAATCAAATTCTTCCAAATCCGGAAATGACCAAAATATATTCATATTTTGGCAATGTCAGTTAAAAATAATTTTCAACAAATAACGAGATCTAACTTCTAATGCGTTTAATATTCCCGTTTCCTATACTCAGATTTGGGAATTTTTTTTTAATTGTAAGAAGTTTGTCTCCCGCAAGATAAAAATTAGCCCAAAATTTTTTATTTCAAAATTTGTAATTTTTGATGTCATTTTCAACTTGCTTTGAGAAATCGGTTAATTAATTTAGAATAATTCAGGAAATAAGTTTAAATGAAGTGCAACAAAAATTGTGTACAATTTAATAGGCCGAACAAAGGAATCAAGTGGTGTCCAAATAATATATATATTTAAAGCATGAACGAAAGTGTGTATATAGCTAAAAAGGCAACGTCATTCTCAGATTTACTCAAAAACCTAAATTATTAAATTCACAACACGTATCGCTGCTCTAAAAATTATTAATTCTCACTTATAAAGCTCACTTATTAGCCTTATCTCACTTACATATAAAGCTAATAAGCTATGTGCTCATTTCAAGTTTTATTTTTGCCGTTAATTTTGCGATTTCAAAAAAGGTTTGCGTGCCACCATCAGAAAAATAATAATAATAAAAAAATAGCGTGCTGCTTGACGTAAACGTCTCGAAAATTTGTTGTATATTTCTCGAATATGACTGACACCCCATGATTCATGACTGCCGTATTTTAATGAGACGCAAAGTAATTGATGAAGGTGAGTAATTGCTTTTTTCTTTCTTTTCGTTTTTCACCTTTAAGCAGATTACTCGAGATCAATGACTTAAAACGGGACGCGCAAGTTCTTTCTTTTGCTTATGCCGGGTGGTACGCAAATATTTAACATATTAAACTGTCAAAATTACGGCAGCTTATCATCTCTGCCATTAATGCACACACGTATGGAATAGTTACACGACTTGGGTTGACGATTTTCCGCATATTTAGTGAAGTTCTTTCAGCTAAGTTTAAAGGATTACGCGCACAGTTTAAAGTTATCTTTTGGTTCTTTTATGTCTGAAGATACTTGTTGTCTTGCGGCTCTTTAGCGGGACGGTATTCTTTATATATATATATATCAATAATGTTTACTGCTTTGAGATTTACATAGTTGCAAAGAATTATTTAAAATAGAATAGCAAAAGGAAAAATTTTAATACACTAAAAAACAAAAGCCTTGCCGAATGCAAGGGTTACGTCATTAATCCATTGCAAATACGTCAAAACTGGGTTCAGCAAAGTTAACTTTCTATGAAGAAAACTGGTTAGGTGTAGTTCCGATTAAGAACATTTGCATAATTTATACAGCCTTAAATATAACTGCAATTCAAAGGGGAAAATGAAACAAATGTTAATTGAAAGGATTTCTATTACTGCTTAAGCAGCTAGAGATTTTCGCTTGGGACAATGTCTGATGCAATACATCAAATGTTTCGTGGTAAGGGGTGAAAAGTTTACCAATACCTCTCATAAATAAAGTATTCTCTTCTTTTTTTCATTTGGATCAATCTCCATTACAAAATGGAACAGTTCATGTGCCATTTTTAACAATTCGTTTAACTTCTTGTATGTTAAAAGCTCTTAATTTCTTTACTATCGCTGCCTTCACCGTTTGTTTGTGTTCTAAGATCATCCAATTCTCCATTTATCATATTATGGTCGTCATTCTCGACTAATTCTTTGATTTCTCCATTTTTCATATTTGAAAATCTACCGCCTGTTACTTAACAATTTGTAAGATTATTACCTAGGCTTCATTTCCTATCGATAGAAATCCTTTAAAATTGTTAACAGCTCCTAACCAGAGCTCATGCCAGCAATATTGTGAATACATTCACTTTTTCATATGGAAGTTTCATCTTTTCTTTGCACTGTCTTATGTTGAATTACTTCCAAAACGTCGTTAGTTTATAGTGCTTTTCTTCGTCTAGTGCAGGGCTACTTAAACTATGGGTCGCGACCCCATTTGGGGTCGCGTAGCAAAATTCTGGGGTCGCGAGAGATTTTAATGTCAAATATTTATATATAATATATATACCCATTTATAACATCACTAGAGTTGGCGGATTACAGTGACTGCAGCATCTAGACACGCGCATATGTTGAATTTTGAGCTTCTCCACCGACAGCGTAAACGATCGATGATCGCTATTATTATACTGTGGCTATACATTGTTAGTGAGTTGTCGTATCATACATGTTGAATAACCGCGCGCCGCTACTTCCACAAGGGAGGAATGCGCGCGCGTACACCACGGCAACCTGCAGCTAAAATGATTCAATACACGCGCTGGCAAATACGCATTAACCAACCGGTCTGTGGGGCTCTTATAAAAAAGCGCGCAAATACTTGTAAACCCTTGAAAAATTTGTGAATTGTATGCTTTTAAGCGAATTTTCATAACATTCCGTACCGCATTGACTAACGCTTGTGTAAACTAGCCTACACTGCTGTAATGTGAATTGTGGAGTGTTGACGCTCTTCTAGTGTGGTCAATTGTCAGTGTCCCCCGTACACGATTTTAGTTTTTTTTTATTTATTTGTAATTAATAAATCAATTATTATCTGCAATATGTTATTTTATATATTTATTTTATTTAGGATCAAAATAATTTTTGGCCATGAATAAATTGCTGAACTTAAAGAGAATGGTAATGACGCAGATGATAATGCTACAAACTCTTCTCAGGCAGGACAAAGTATTGGAAAAGGCATCTAATGTGCGAAAAAGAAAATATGATGAGTCTTTTCTTCAATTGGCTTTACATTTCAAATTGTGAGGGTATGAACAACCTCTTTGTTTTATCTGAAATGAATTATTGGCTTCGGAGAGCGTAGAGTATGAAACCATCAATTAAAAGACATCTGAATCAAAGCATTTTTGTATGTCAATAAAAAAAGATATTTTGAGACTGTTGAAATCTTTTAATAAAGAAAAGGAAATCTTTGAAAATATAACTGTTAATGAAAAATATTTACTAGCGTCATATGAAGTTTCATACTGTATTGCTAAAAATAAAAAGCCGTTCCCTTGGAGAAGATCTGTGTTTACCTGCTGCTATTAAAATGGTAGAAATACTACATGGAAAAAACTATGGCGATGATATTCGAAAAATTCCTTTGTCGAACGACACTGTCTCGAATAGAATTTCTGATATTAACAGGATAATTAATACAACTTATTACAAGAATTAAAGAAAGCCCCAATTTTCAATTCAGTTGGACGAAACCACTGATATTACTAATTGGCCATTGTTATATTGTCAGGTACGTTTATAAAGAAAGCGTGGAGGAGAATTTTATTTTGTCGTCCTATGGAAGACCATACTACGGAAAGACATATTGTAAAGTTGACGAATTAGTAAAATCAGAAGGTTTAGAATGGAAAAATTGCTGTGGAATATGCACATGGTGCAAGAGCGATGACGGGGCAAAAATATTGGTTTAAAAATCATTTTTTCAAGCTGCCCATTGTGATCATATAACTTTAGTCCAACGCCTTATTCACCGAGAGGCCTCTTGCAGCAAAAATTAGCACCAGAATTGAACGATATGCTTCAGGATGCTGTTAAATCTAAATTTTATTAAAGCCACGCCCTTAACGTCCTTATTTTCAAATCTCTGTAGGATACGGATTCCAACTACCAACTTTGTTATTACTGCAGAAGTAAATGGTTGTCAAGAGGTCAAGTTTAAGAAGATTATTTTATTAAACGACTAGATCGAAATATTTTTAACCGAACTAAATGTGAACTTGCTGCGTTTTTCAAAATGACTTATGGCTATCCAGCTGTGTTATTTGTCAGAATTTTTGCGAAGTTAAATGATCTCAACTTTCTCTTCAGGAAAATATTGCGATATATTTACTTTAAATGATACATTGAAAGTTTTATTAAAGATCAACATTTGGAAAGTAGGGTCGAAAAAAATTCGTTCGAAATGTTTTCCAGTGTCGACAATTTTGAATCGAGAATTCATGTAAACTTTTATTGCAAAAA